GGGGGGGGGGCGCTCTGTCTCAACGTGCATACCAAATGATCGTTGTTGTAAATTTAGCTTGAAGAAAATGAGTGTAATATTATAACAGTCATGTACAAGTTGTGATATCTTTAATTTAGCCTCCTGCATAGGAAAACTACACATTGCAATACAAAGGTGAAGTACACGTATCGCCGATATAATCTAAACCACATTTATGTGAATTTTTTATTTGTGAGTTCAGCATGGATTGACTGAAGTAACTTTAACCATACGAGTATATAGGTTTATGTGTATCAATAAAGAATGTATTTTCACAAAAAAACAAACAAAAAAAAAAACCATTCGAGTGTCTTTCTCTATTAAACGCGTGCTAAGAAAAGGAATTCAGTTCCTTGAGAAAACGCCTTTTCTTTGGCATGACATTCACTGTGGTTCATAGCTAGTGCCTTGTAAGATGTCGATAGCCCACCAAGCTAAATGCACCAAAAATGTTCAATCCTTGATTACGTTCTTACTCGTGTTCTTGATGTGGGCTTCTGCCCCAACGCGCATACTGAATCATCGTTCTTGTAATAGCTTGAAGAAAATACGTGTAATATAGCTAAGGTCATGTACAAGTCGTGATATGGTTAATTCAGCCACGTGCTGAGACAATTACACATGCAAAACTTAGCCGGGAAACATCGTGGATAAAATCTAAATATTGCATTTATATAAATATGTGAAATTTTTATTTATGAGTTCAGAATGTCAGCAGACTTACACCATGAGTGCATTTTGTTATTAAAGGCATGCTGAAAAAGGGGTTCACTTCCTTCCAAAAACACCTTTTCATATTTAAATATTGCGTTTGCATTTTAGAGTAGTACATAGCTAATGCCTTTATTATAACATCTCGGCTAAGTGCGTCGTCAAAAGTAATGTGAACTTGATGGGTTAGCAAATATGTGTTTGATATCATTTATCAATTTATCCGGCCACACATAGGTACTGAACGTTTCTGGAACAACCTGGGAATAAAACTTGGCATGTATATAATGTGTTTCTTTCTGCAACGACATTCAGTCTGTCAGTTGATAACGTTCAAAGTGAAAACAGATTAGCATAACAGCACATTTCAGCATACTTCAAGTTGAATAACGAGAATCGAAATCAAGAGCACGTATTTTGGTGAAAGGTGTAAATCATTAAATTTGAAAGAGTTGCTTAAAAGTTTGCGCATCTTGAAAAGTTTAGCCTCAATTTTTCCATTTCTTCGTTGGCAATCCTTGTTAATCTTCTCCATTCTTAACCATCCTTGGTCCTTTATGTATTATTATTGTCATCTCTTTGGTGTTTTAAACTATTATTTTCAGGTTTCCTTCAATTTAAAGGAGTTTTTACACAGGAAAAATAACTCAAAATACTGTGACTGAGCTCATCTAACTAAGCCGATAGAACTTGAAAGGTTCATGATCCATACACTAACTCCAGTGAATTCCAAAATCGATAATCTTTCTTCAACGACGTGTGATTTAAACATATTTTGGCCTGATATACGTGTTTATCAATACCTGACTCTTGTGACTAGATTATGAACTCGAGATTTCTGAGATGGGTGATAGTTGCCCGGGCTGCACCCTCGTCAACTATCACGCACAGCGAATAATATAATTATTTCTAATTCAGTATAAATCTATTTGTCGTTCAAAACTTTAAATTGTTAAGAAGCGCACACTGCTGTGCTACTCACTATTCTTCAACAGAATAAACTGTAAATAGTGCCGGAGTAGCTATAGCGTAGCCAATCAGAGAACGCGATTCGTGATAGAACGCCAGTACTGAATTATACTAAAACCTAGTGGTATAAATCTACTAGCGTTCTATCACGAATGCTGTGCTCTGATTAGCTACTCTACTCAGTATCTATTCTGTGATAGAAAGTGAGTAGCGTTCCAGTGTGCCCTTGTTAAGTTAACGAAATGACGGCCGCTTCTTGGCGTTTTTCGAAGTGTCTGTGAAGAGGATTTAGATAAAGCTGTGGACGACTAGTAGATTTATAAAACAATTAGATTATTCACTCTCGATTTCTTTGTGTAGCAGTTGACTCGGGCTGCGCCCTCGTCAACTATCACCCAATAGAAATTCGATCGAGCTCATAATCTAATTGGTCAGTAGACAAAAACCATTTTACAAGGATTGAAAATTGGCTGACGGGCTACTGCGATAAGACGAATGTAATGGCAGCTATATGTGCTTTTTTTNATTAAGGTTTGAATCATTATATTCAGCCTTTGTTTGTCCCCATGTTACATATACTGTTTTTTTTTTTTTTTTTTTTTGGTTTTAAATACAGTTGTTTTGTTTTGTTTTTTTTGTTTTTTTCTTTAAAAACTTAGAAGTATCTTTCGATCTTTTTTTCAACCAGCTCAAAGATTTGTATTACTGTTTTCTTTCAATTTCGTAAAGTACTGATAATTATATCGCCGTACAATAGTCGGGGAATTTTGTCGTGAAAAGGAGTGAAATTTTTAATATCATACCCAGCGAAGCATGTGGAATAAGTTAAAAGAAGATATTACAAATGAATTGGTCTTTTCCCGTATAATTATTATAAAAAATGAAACACTAGTGCAACTCGAATCTTTGTGAAGGGTACTTTTTCGAGTATGACTAGTACTTGAAAAAGTCAAACCTCAAAAGTCATGTTCATAATGCAAACTTCAGTTAATGGTCTCGTTTTATTAATGGGGTTTCTTTTGTTTTGTTTTTTTCATTCTTTTTAATGTTTTTTTTTCAGTATTATTGAAACTTACTAAATGGGTGCACGGAAGCTTTTATTAAAACGGTGCTGTTGTAATGGGTTATGCATGCATGGGATTGTGCTGTCAAATTGAAAATGTGTGGTAGAAACATTCTGTAGTCGTGTCGTGGCAAAATCGTTGAAAACTATAATGGGTTCTTCAATAATTCACATAAAATTTTAATCACAACTTGAGCACTGTGAAGCCGGCTTTTGACTCTTGACAGTGCTATTTTGTTGCGTTTTGAAAACGATAGTGTGTTGCAGTAGTTTCGTGACAGTCTTATTTTATACTTTTATTACCCTTATAAGATGCGATATGTTTGCTTTGAGATCTTATCAATGTTTCTTTCAAGTGTTGCTAGGTAATATTTCCGTTGAAATTGCACATGCTCAATATTAGAATAAGATAGATGGAATTCCTGATCTATACCTTTGTTGCTTAGGTCGAGTTGTCGAGGAATTAAACAAGAAGATTACAACACTCTCTCGCTAAAACTCTCTGTTAAAGAGTAAGATATCTCTTTTCTTGCTTTCAAAAATGAACTTATCTCAAAATGAGTTGTGGCTTTTTGCTTGCACACGAAACTAGCGCAATATACAGTCACGAATATCGCTTTAAGATTTTCTTTTCGTATCTATGCAATTTTAAAAACAATATTAAGCAAATCAAAATGTGCGCGATATTGCTAGTTCTCTAAAGAAAAGCTCGGGTTTCCATTAAAATAAATATTCGATTCTGTGCTATGTATATCACACTCTAAACTGAATGAAAAAGAAAGAAAAACAAACAATGGCTTGTCTGCAGCTAGCGAGAGAAAAAGCTACTTCACTCGTGCATTGAAAGGCGTCATACAGTTTCGGTGTTTTGAAAAAAATCAACAAACTCGCGGAGGAAAACACTTATTAATACTGCACAAGTATTTCGACAAGATTGATTCTCGAGTCGCCTTTTACGACAGCAACTCCTTTGGTTCAAGAACAACGCGTGCAAAATGATGGCTTGTATGTTTTGGAAAAGAGCCTTCGTCATTCACTTCCTGGTGGTTTTGGTATTGATGAGTGTCTTTGGTGGAACCAACGCACTCTGTGTTATACGGAGTGATGTTGATGCCTTCTCTAATCCCGATACCTCGCCTTGCAGCCGCGTCGGTTGCAGACGAGTCCACGGAGCGAATGGCTGCAAAGGTGGAAACTGTTGCATGTGCCAGTGTAGCCGCAGTAGGCCGAATTACCTCATCCACCGTAAGGCGTGTGTACAAAATGATGAACTAATAGGAGGTAAGGACAGTCAAGTTAGGTTTGTTCTTTGTCTAGCTAGAGAATGAGAGTGGTTTCGTTTGGCCATATAACTTTGAGCCCAGATCAAGGCCGAGGGTTTTTCTCCGGGTTCTCGGGTTTTCCTCCCTCCGCGAAAAGCAACACTCCAAATCTCAATTCAACCAGGATAGAGGACCTGCATGAAAACCAACTGACGCTGATGTGGCTTCCTCTCTAAATAGTTTAATTAATTTTTTAAATGCGTGAGATCACCGTGTTACGGTTTCATGACTGACCGTTCTTATCCAATTTAGACCTTGTTGAAATTTCCATGAGTAGTGTACGCTTTTGATCGTTTGTAAGGAGCAATAGTTGTCGGCTGTCGAAGAAAGCTGCGGGTCATCCAGCTCCCATCGTTGAGTCTTGTTAACTGTCATCTCGTTTGAACTGGCTTTTAAAGTGCTGTGCTCTACATTGTCTCGCAATTTTGTTCCGATTCAACTGAGGTTTTTGGAGAATTTGCTTGATACAATATCAATATCCCAACTTACGGCGTTAAAACTGTATGATACAAGAACATGATGCCGTAAAGCGCTAATCTGTTTATTCCTAGCTATTGGCTTCAGCTAATGTTAAGCATGACAAATAAATCATATAAAACTATATGAATACAAGTTCGGAGGGAGTTACAAAAAGAGATCTTTCTTTGAATTCTCAAAATCTGTTTTTTACTTGCTTTCCTTTCTTATGGTAACTTTTAAGTTTATGGCATAAAGTCGCGGGCCCTGTGCTTGCGAAACACGCGGAAAAATCAGGTGAATTTTAAAGTGAATAAATAGATTATAAGATTTAGAGAGGAACCCACATTAACTTTAGCTGCTTTTTATGTGAATCCTCTGTCCTGGTCGAATTAGAATTTGAAGTGTTGGTTTTCGCATCAAGTGTGGAACCGTAACCTTTATGAATTGGTTATTATTTTTACAAATGTTGCATCCACTTACAATGTTCCGTTTATAATGCTACAAGCATGTCATTAACTCAAACAGTTTGATTCTATCTCCCGTAAAAGTGGTGGAAACTTCCTTTTCAACGAGGCTTTAAGGATAAAACATTTCTGATAAACGTGTCAGATAGTCGTACTGTTTTTTGAGCACAGTTTTCAATATCGTTGCGGGTTATTTTGAGAAATTTTCGCACGTTACTACTCTGGCCGACGTTACGTAAACTCCATTTCGCTACCTCGACAATTTTCGAACTGACTTGTGTGTCTTCGAACATGCCATAAAATTAATTTGGTGAACTGGCGCGCACGTCGAATGTGTAAAGTGCACATGTATTTTTGAGTCGCAATGAGGACAACCGTCGATTTAGGTAGCCAACTTTTACTTACATAACTTCAAATTAAAGAATACCTTCTGAAATTTTCTGATTAAGTTTGTTTTCGATTTACGACAAACGAAAAGCAAAATAGGTTTCGTAACTGACTTCAGCGACAGAAAGAGAAATATTCATCTGAAACGTATTAAAAACTAATTAATTAATTCATTAATTAATTAACTTGTTAGTTATAAAATTGTTTTGTGATACTTGCGAAACTGATTTTGATCATTTTCATTTGTCAGTTCAAAAGCAATGATTTGGGCTTTCCACAGAGTTAAACTATTTATTATCAAGTTTTCTTTACTAAAGTGCTTAGCATGGGAAACTAAATTAGGAAAAAACAGAAAATTTTAGACAGCTTTTTCAGATGTAATGTAGGCATGTAGCAATACTCTTAGTTATTTCAATTCTAGCAAGGTGCCTTAGAAAGATGGGATTTGTATTTCCGAATGATCGTCTCATTGTAATTCATAACGTTTGAGCACTCGGCTAGCTAAAGAAGGCAAAAACTGACTCAATACGACTAATCACTTTGCTGCAACAGTTCAACCCCTCATCAAAAGACACAGCTAGTGCAGATGCTTGTGATATTCGCTATAGGCTGAATAACCAGCCGACAATGATCAAAAGGGCAATATATATATATATATATAAAATTTGTCACGTCCCAATTTTCGTAGACAGAGATGGAACACTATATTTTCGTCATGCTAAGCGCATGACTAATTCAATTCAATTCAATAGCAGTTTATTATTTAATACACTTAGCTTTTCAAAGCTAAGTTCCTGTAAGTAACCAAGTTTGCCCAAGAAATAGGAAACCTAGCCGGGCTAAAACCACCCAGTGCTGAATTATCATGGCTGAGCTGAGAGACTAGTAAAACTGACATGGGCGAGCACAGCATGCTGCGCAAAGTAAGGCTAAAATGGAGAGAGATTTTTGTTGCTTTATGTCCCGCAAGGACCGAAGGAAATTAACTAAGTAAGTACACGCATGACCCACTCGCGTGAGTCTCTCGCGCGGCTTTTCCTGCGAGTGGGACGTCGGAGATTCTAGCTGAAAAATTCTAAACTGATGGCGTAGCTCAGCAGAAGTCTGTTCCTGTCATTGGTTGTTGCTCGGTTACGAACTACCACGAACGTGCAGATTACAAATCACAGGCACTAAACTTATTTCTTGATTAATTTCTTTCCTTGTTAAACTGTGTAGATTGCGATTTTCGTCCCACGTCTTCAGAGATCGCAGTTGTAGACTTCAGTAAGGCGGGGATTTTTCTGTTTGATGGTGACGCTGATGGATGCTACAGTGGATTACGGGTCGCGCAATGGTCTTATCGGTTGGATAAACCGAAAATGATTAAAGAACAACCGAACAACTTCATAGTCAAAGGAGGGTCCAGCAGATGGTATCTACAGGTACGAAATTTGAAAAAAATGTTTCATCAGGTACTTAATTTATACAGCATTATAAACAGTACAACATGAAATAAAAGCACTGCGCAATATCTTTCATTTGAATGGTCACTCACTAGGGTTTCATCCACAGACTTGAAAGTTAGAACCATCTTGTACAGCATAATAAACAGTGCCACACGAAGGTACTGCTCAATAGCTTTCATTTGAATGGTCACACACTAGGGTTTTATCCGCAGACTTAGAAGTGAGAACCACCTTGTACAGCATAATAAACAATACCACATGAAAATACTGCTAAATAGCTTGGTTAAAGGTGCTAGCGACCCTGGACTGTAAACAGCCAAAATACGCGTAGGCATATTTTCACGTATTGTTTTGTTTTGTTTTGTTTTTCAGTGGAATAAAGGTCTTGACGCAAAATATTCTGGATTGATTTTGAAGTTTGATTTTGCATGTGTCGCTAAGAAGGCTTATTCAAGATCTCAATGTCTGTTGGTCAAAGCGAAAGGAAATTATACTCTTTCAGGTATATATGTCTTCTTTATGTCTGTCTTCAGAAACTCTTGAAAAATTAGCTTTGGTAGTTTCCTATTCACATTCTTTCTGTGAACTCTTTTCTCCAGAGGCACCAGGAACCCCACCACTACAAGTAGTTCCCAACGATGTTGCAGTAGATGTACATGTAACAGGAAGAAAAGTTGAGCCGACTGCACGGATTGAGAGAAATGACACAAAACCTGTAAGCGAATAATGTCACACCAATAAGAGCAGTTTTCAGAACAGTCTCAGAATGTAGAAGGTGTTACTTCTTGTTAGTTTTTTTTTCCTTTTAACTAATATAACGTTTTTTGACCAGTTAGCCAGCCTGGCTGATTGTCATACATTTGTCCATTTTAATGACCTTTATGTCGGACACATGTTGTAACGTGGCAACGTTGTGCAACAATTCGCGTAACATTGCTGACGTAGAAAGCAAGTTCTTATGTTTTCAATTCGGTGGCCAACACTAAGAAGGATAAACAGTGACTGTGTATTCCTTTCTTTCATAAAGAAAAAGAGTCGTAAAAAATAAAACAAAGTTCGTTGCGTTTGAGTGAAAGAATCGATGGCCAAAAGGCAGGAAATGACTGACACCTGTGCTACACCATTTTAAGGCAATATTACAGATAACGGACAAACGTATTGTTGAAGTTTTTGCGCGCAATAATATAAAGGATGAGTTTAAAGGGAGACTAATTCTGTGGCATTGCGCACGATGTTGCGCGCAATTCAGAAAATGCTTGTAATATTGCGCGCTGCTTTGCATCGTGCCTGTGCTGTGCTTGATTAACTTGCGATACAAAGACTGTATGTCTCTAATTGAGAATTTTCTTTATTCTGGAGGCCCGACTGCTTTTCTATGTCCTATAATTAATATATAGATTTAGGCCAGCCTAAAAGCGTAGCTCCTGAGCCGGGTTGTTCAGAGCTAAATAACCTAGGAAAAGGTAAAATTTCGATTTGATTTTTGTAACTTTGCGTTGAGGTTTTCTATATATTGTTTGGCCTTCTGTTTTGAGTTTTAATAATCACTATACACACAAAACAAAGCAGCAAAAAACAATTGTATAGAAGAAAAAGTTATAATTCGGTTAACTTTTAATCCTGGGTTAGCGTTAACCGGCTTCCGAACAATCCTGCCCTGTTTTCAACAACTTAACCTCAGATGAGCCCGCGATCCAATCGAAA